AAACTGCTTGACTTGATTAGTTTTGACTGTGCAAAGTACTGTATTATGTTCTACAATATGAACTTAACAAGAGGCTTCCTCTAGTTCTGTGTAAAATTATAGAGCGACACGAAGGTAAGCGCATTGCTCTTGTTGTTGTTTTTTTTAATTGTCGGATTATAATTCAGTATGTATCAATGAATGATACAGTTTTGACTGTCATGGTGTGTGAATGAACGAGTGTGAAATACCTGCTAATTACGTTGCTTTTTCCTATCACTTATATTGGGTACTTTTTGCATTAAATTGGATTATTCTGACTGCTGACATTGGAAATGATGCATGTGTACCTTTGAGGGTATCTGTTAATTTCTTGATTGCCATTTTGACGGTGTCTGCTTGCATATTTTATTCATGTTCGGTAGCTTAATTCCCTTTAATGTAGGCATTATCTTTATATTATTTTGTCGTCATTATTATATAATTGCCCTTGTCAACCTTGATTTACATGTTCCATCACATTATTTTGACAGTATTCGGCCAATCACAACGCATTGGATAGCTGGCCAATCACAGCACACCTCCCTTTTTTAGACCGATGAGCTTTGTAAAAATCTAAGCATTTCAAAAAGGCGGGGCATAGAGGAGAAACAATATTGTACAGTATGTGGAAATAATGTGTTTTTTTAACTTTAAACTGCATAAACACATTTCATTACACCAAATACACAAAATAATGTTCTTTTTAGCAGCATCATGTGACCCCTTTAAAGTTTGGGGCGGGTTTTTGTGAGCTTTTGGGCTGGAAATCGTCCATCCAATCTGGCAACACTGCTCACGCGACGCTCCTGCTTGATGCTCACGCAGCTGCTCCTGCTCCCGGTGTGAATGCACTCATTTGTCAACATGCACGCCGAAAAAAATATGCGCCGCTCACGCTTGCGGCATGAAACTGGCCTAATAGTGGAACTGAGTAACAGGGGCCCTTAGTGAGGGGAGGGCCTCTAATGATATACTGATTATTATTATTAATATGATTGATGAGGTGTTGAGTTGCGAGGGGCCCACCCCCTTGGTTGGGTGATTGGGGCCTAACATTTAATGCTACGCCCCTGGTCGCTCCCATTTTGTTGGTTCGACTTACTGAACGAGCCGGCCTTTTAATTCAGAACAAAATGGCTTCTTAGTGAAGCATAACTGAATCACGAATGCTGTTCGTTCAGTTCGGCATTTGAGTCATTAATAGATTGACTGATGAATTATGAATGTTTAATGCATATAATGCTTTTTATGTTGTTTTATTATCTTATTGTTGTTGTTGGTGGTGGTGACGTTACTGTCCACTGACTGGAAGCATCTATCACCAAGACAAATTCCTTCTGTGTGTGCACATTTCGCATTAAAGCTCATTCTGAATTCTGATTGTGAGAAGACTTGTCTTGGTTGATTTAGTGTTTTAATGAATGAATGACTGATTCAATGACTCGCTCATGGCAAAAAGACATTGAACCACTGAATCTGTTTAGTGTACAAATTCTAAACATTCGAGTCACTGTGATGAATCAAACTTTCCACAGCTAAAGTTTGAATAGATGTGGGCGCTAGCTGAGGTGCGAAAAATTGTGTAATGCAAAGTAATATATATATATATATATATATATATATATATATATATATATATATACTGTATATACAAACACACATTTTGTAAGACATTTATCCATAACGGAACAGAATTTTGCTGTGTATATTGTGCTGATGATTTTATTGATTTGTTGGGGGTACAAGATCATCTGCGATATGATGGCTTGTTTCCCTCCAAATATTTGGTAAACACCTTGCCTAGTGGCTAGAATTATTATGTACCATTAGGGGAGACTGGGGATGAAAGTAACACTTTTTGTTTGAGCATCAGTAACTTAGTGGTTGTTTGTGTAGATCTTTCAAACTTTGATAAAAGCTACATTTGTGCATTACAAATAAAGCTCACATGGACTTGTACTACAACACAATCATAGATTATGAGTTACAAAGAGTGTATGACCTACCCCAATATACTGGTGTGAGTTGTAACACAGGCTGGCAATTTGCAGAAATAAGTTCCACACTATCCAATTTATACAAGAACTTTATTGAAGAACAAAGAATAATCAGTTTTGAATAAAGTTAACAATTTAAAGTGACAAACATCATATTGTATTTTTTAAGGCTTTAAATTTAGCATAATTTCCATGTTTGTACGAGTGTTCATGTGTGTAATGTATTCCTGTCACATAAGGGTTCAGTCACTAGCTATGTCACCATCCACCTATTTTTATGTGAATTTTGGGATATCACATGTTATGTAGGTCAAATAATTGTATCTACAATACAATGATTGCTAGACAAAAAAGTAATATACAATGTTAATCGTGGTCACATGCAACTTCTCCTCTAAGCTCAAAAATATGATGGGAGTGTATGATATTAATGACATCACCACAGCTATTTTCTGACTTGTAAAACTGACAGTTACAACTGACCGCGTGTTGCAACACTCCCTTGTCAAAATAGTCAGATAAATGACATAAACATTAATGTTCACATTTCAGACAGTGTGAATTAAGTTGATATTCTTCATCGTGACAAATAATCAGTATAAATCTGCACACAGCATTTTAAAAGTAAAGTGCTGATTGGAGAGCAGATTGTGGTTTTTGCACTCTCCAACACCTGTCCACAACAGGAAAAAGAAAAAGGTGCCATTTCTTTTCTTCCCCCCACCAAGATCTTTCAGATCTGTGCTGAAAGAGGTGTGGCCTCTAAACATTTGCATGGTGAATCTTTGCACCACAGTTGATTTCATGTGTCCAAATTTCTGCATTGCGAAGTTGTCTGCCAACAGGCGGGGCAAAACCGGATACACACTCTTGGTTTATATATGTCATTCACCCACTAAGCAGTGATGCTTTTGGTTTATATGTTACTGACACTCAAAGCAGTGGCTTTCATTCAAACAAACCGCTTACATCGATTTTCATGTTGTTCCTGGACTCTCAACTCTAGGCAAGTACATGTTTTGACTGTGCCTGTTATTATGTTAGAAAATACAAGTACAAAAATTACTAAAATAATAAAGAGAAATATATTTGTATATACATTTGGATAGTTGTAAATTATTGACCTTTACTGGGAATAATAAATATATTATTTGGCTATTAAAATGGCAGCGTGTGGTATATTGATTCCAGTCTGCTTTAGTATTTATGCAGGTTTCTTTGTTTCTTTTTTTAAAACTAACCAATGAAAAGCTGTGACTAAAATGCAAAGTGATGATTAAGTGTTACATGTTCACACCATCATACTGTATCATAAGCTCAGTTTAGTCGCTACTGTCAACAGGAAAAGACAGAGTTGATTTTATTCTGTTATGTTACTATCATATTTTTTTATATATATTTGTTTCTATTTTTCTATTTTCTGTTTTTACATTTAATTAAAGTTTTAGTACTTTTGTTTTTGGGTTGTCTATATAGTTTTTATTTATTTAGTTCATCAACTATGAAACAAAAAGCATTTACTTGTCAACTACCTAAAATAAGTTTACATGCTTCAGTTAATGTTGTTTTTATTTCAAGCAACAAAAATGTTTTTCATGGTTTTAATTTGATATTTATAATAACCGTGCTGTGACCACCTCACCACTTTGTCTTTACAGTATTTGTGCCATGCGATTAATGAAAAAACATAAACGTGCCCTTTGTTGTCTGTTTGGCTTTGTACTGCTCTACAATTTCTTATCCTGGAGTAAAACCATGCTACTCTTGTGTCAGACTGAGACCAGTGGACCTAAAAGCCCAGAGTACAACATCACCATCCTCCTGTGGCACTGGCCTTTCGGAGTTCGCTACAGACTGAAGAGAGGCGACTG